TTATAATAATTAGTAAATTCAAAATATATAATTTAGAAAAGCTAAGTATTTAAATGTATCTTCTACAGGTGAAGTGAAGACACTAATGGTACAATTATTAAGGGCAGTTGCACATCTTCATGACAATTGGATACTTCATAGAGATTTAAAAACATCCAATCTACTTCTTAGTCATAAAGGGATTTTAAAAGTAAGCTTAGTTACATGAATTTAAAAAGAAATACATTTTATTTATTTATGTAAACCTTATTTTAGGTTGGTGATTTTGGATTAGCTCGAGAATATGGTTCACCATTGAAACCTTATACTCCTGTTGTTGTGACGTTATGGTACAGAGCACCAGAGTTATTGTTAGGTGCAAAAGTAAGTTTTGTTTTATTCAAATGACTAAAAATATATTATTGGGTGAATTTATTCAGTTTAAGTAGTAATTGTATTATTTAAACTGAAGAATGTACTGTTTAATATTGAAAGCTGTTATAATAAAAATCCAACAATGAGTTGTGTAACTTTCCCAACAAAAACATTAAAATTTTTTATTTTTACTTTATCTTAGTTATTTATTTTATTTTTTACCTTATTCCATGTGTTTTATCTTGTGCAATGCTATATTTCATCCTGGTGGAAAATTATAGGACTAAAATTTTTCTTTCCATTCTTTGAATAGTACATGTACGAATATTACTGCCATTCTTCTTATTAGTTAAAGCTACAGAGAACTCTGAATAGAGAAACTTTAATTATAACCATCCTGTTCATTCAAAATTAGGTTTTAAAGTATTAACATTCACATATTTTTATAAGAGAATTAGTTTGTTAAAATACTGTATAATTAAGGGATAAAATATCTATCGCAGATGCACCTTGCTCCTCAAAATAATGCAGGGTTCCCTCAACAGCCTTCAGTCCTTCACTGTGAGTCATCTACTTCCTCATCTTTTGATTATTCATCTTTTACTTGATATTCACATTTTGAACTTTCTAAAAGCATATATTTATATAAAGTATC